CACTTCCAACTTCCAGCCAGTGTGTAGCTGCCTAGACGGTGCTTGACCATTTTAACACAACGTGGTGCGATCATCCCCCTTGCGCGGAGTGAGGGTTCTCCACNGAAGATGGTAACCTGGTTGCCGAGTTCACGAAGTGATTTCGCTTGTTTTACAACGTCTTTGCCAAGCGACGAAAACCCAATCCCGATGGCAAACACCGGGGGGGGCGGCTTGTTTTACAACGTCGTTGCCAAGCGACGAAAACCCAATCCAGATGGCAAACACCGGGGGGGGCGGCTTGTTTTACAACGTCGTTGCCAAGCGACAAGAACCCAACCCCGATGGCAAACACCGGGGGGGGGCGGCTTGTTTTACAACGTCGTTGCCAAGCGACGAAAACCCAACCCCGATGGCAACCACCGGGGGAAGAGGTTGGTGCACAAGGGAGAGATGTGCACGACTTGTAACTTGATGCTTGAGCATCGACAAGAGCGGTGGTAGGACCGGAACACGAAATGGTGCACCACATGCACCCGTGGTGCGTGTCGAACGCGTCCCCTCGGAATCCCCATGCATCCCATTTATCACGCAACCCGGCGCAAAATTACGAAATTGCGATGTCGTCGAGAACGCGCAACACTTGACCCACTACCGACAGAAACAAACAAACTATGTGCAGCGCCTTACGAGCAGTCTCTCCGCCCTCACACTCGCTTAATATAGCCCTCACAAGTCTGATCAACGGCCGGCCGTAAGAAGGCCCTTGAGAAACAACCGCTCACCTCCCCAGCGCTGTAGACCGCAGCCACGGCCGCCATCATGAACGCCTGCCTCCCCATGGAAGACATCGCCTTGGCCATCACGTCGCTCTTGGGAGGGTTCAACACTACCTTGTCCGTTGGTCTAGGCTGCGGGGGGTTCTTGAAGGACTCCTGAACGGCGCCGAACAAGAGCCCCATCCCCGCTCCACATTGCTGAGGCGAACGCATTAGGGGGGGGCAGGGGTGCACCAGGCGCCCGCGAGTCATAAAAATTGAAGTTCCGTTCATTAAGGTAGCCTGTGCTTGACGGAGGCAACGAGTTAAGAAACTGAACCTGGACCGAAATCGAGTGCCTACTGCTGTACTGGTGCTGATACTACGTACACTATGCATGCACGTCCGAATGTTTTGCACACAAACGAGCCCGGGCTTATGCCGGTCGCCATGCAGAATCGTTGCATACAGACGACCGAAGCTTCCTGCGGGCCTCATTTTCGTGTGCGTATTTTGTCTTCAGTATTTGGGTGACAGTTAGATCAAAAACACAGTGTATGTACTCTAGGCGCCACAGCGGACATGCGCCGGTTTTGGGCAAAGACTAGGTTGGCGTGGAACAGATGAAGCCAAATGCTGGTTGTAGTGTACCACACCAACGGGGACTGCTATCAACCACTACATACATGTAGACAGAGATATTTCCAAATACCCAAGATGTACTCGTGTACTCCACGCGCTGACAAGTCTACACAGGCTTTTGCATGTCCCACACAACCATCCATGACAGGCAGCGTCCACATGGGAAGCTGGGAGCTGGGGTTCTCTGTGCTGCTGCTCGTGACAAAAGTACAGGATACCTGCATACGAGAGGCCCCGCGCATGCGCAACTATCCCACTGCACGCCCTATATGGCATTTTGCCATCGCTGAGTGAAGGCGACAGCGAAGATATTGCGGGTCCGTGCTAACGCGGTCGCACCCTTGTGTACACTTGCCGGCAGCCGGACCTCTTGACGGCAAAGGGGGGGGGGTACCCCGCAGCTGTGCGTGCGTTTTGTTGTTGAGAGTTTTCTATACTCTGTTCCGTACGTCAATCTGCCACTCGAAAAGTTGTGTGCCATCTACAACGTGTGCTGCAAAGTGTGATTCTAGCCATATCCTATATGAACAGGGTGGTTCTCTTGCATGCACACGCAGCATCGAGCCGGCTGCTGCTGTGTGATTTCAGCCGACACGTACGCTACCGAAAGGAGCAAAATCAGACGTGCGGGAACTGTGACAAACACGCTTTTGCGTCTCTGCATCGCAACGTTTTCCCATTCTTGCTCACCACATTCTGGATGGCCAACTCGAAGCACGTTTTCCGTTTCTCGTCCCCCATTGCCTTGGCCGTCTGTCTCCTTCACTGTCCTCCTTGTGATCGTCTGCGTCGTCGCGAGAGATGTCCCTGGGCGAAACAAGCGAACGGAGTGAGGGCCCAACTACCAGGAGTATAAGTGAGTCGAGGTAGGTGGCGAGAATGGGGCCCCGTGATTTGATAGGCTGTTGAGTTGGGTGAGTTGCCGTTAGAAGTTTATTTCGGTATTATTTTTGTGTGTGCGTGCGCGCGTGCTGTGTGCACACCCTTCGTCTCTCTTTCGTCTGCTGACATGGGCTGCTAGCCTGGTGTACACCGCCGCAAGGCGCGACCTGCTCGCTATTGGACGTGAAGAGGGGAAGCGATTGCCACGACTAACAGAGAGCGCAAGGGCCTTCATTGTGGAGTATTTGCACATCGGTGCAATGTCAGACATTGCCGTTATTGGTGTAACACCCAAGCCCACCATTAGCAAAGAGGAGGATAGGCGTCTCAAGCTGCAGCAATGGAAAGAGAGCAAGGCGGCATTGGAAAAGAAGGTGACCCCTGCAGAGAGAAAGGCTGCACCGGACAGGAAGGCGCAGTTCTTTGAGCGAAGGGAGCGACGGCTCCGAGAGGAGCGAGAGAAACGGGCATCAAGGTCCGGAAAGGAAAACAACATGCCACCGGTGCGAGGTTGAGTGCTTGGGGGCAACAAAGAGACTGCTGTGCTATCATACGATTCGGGAAGGATCCGCACCACCATATTCCTGGCCGTGCGTTGTGCGTTACCCCTCAATGCCTCTTCCAGACTGTATCGCGCGTCTCTTATTACTCCCGTATTTCCTTCTGAACCTCTGCGTAACCACAACGACGCTCGCTTCTCTTGATTTTCGTCTCCTTTCCCATCATCCCACTATGCGTCGTTTCCTTTTCCTTCCATATCCGTCCAGGTGGAGGCAAGTAGGAAGGCTGCTGGCTCGGATCAAACACAAAGGCTCTCGTCCACTCCTAGGCCCCGGCCAGCCTCGAACGACCAAGTAAAGCTCACGGAGACTACGCCAGCCTCCACTGCGGGGCAGCCAAGGGTAAAGGTGAGCACACGATGCTCGCGTTCATGTACATGCAAACATCTCGGCGGGCAACAACAGCAGCGGCGAGCGTGTGAGATGCGAGGCGGGAAAAAAGAAGTGAAATACGCATACATTTGCAACCTGCTTGCAGGGGGTGTGGTGTCAAGCTCGAAGGTTAAACAGCAGGGCCAAGCCGCGAGGTTGCGTCACGCTCATCACTGCCCTTCGTGCCTGTAGACAGCATATCACAGCATTAGTTTCACCCCTTTCATCTTCCGTTACCCTCTGCAATCCACCTCCAACATTTTTTCGTTGAATCTCGTTAAATCAAATCAAGTGTTCCGAAACTCTTGAGCGGTGTATCATACTGCTGCTGTGTAGTGTACCGCCTTTGGGGCTCGGGAGCGATGCACATATTTCGATCCGAGCCGTATTGGCATCTATGTCTACCCATCATCTGTGGGCTACGCATGGTCTACCAGCATCTTTTCTGGCGTTTTGGGGGGGCTAGTGCTCCCAGTAGGCGCTGAGACGATACTAGAAGTTTGCTGCTGCTGTTGTTGTGTTTATTGCTCCCGAACTACCACTTCGCTTTGTGTCCATTAGTGCCTCCACCCCGTCCAAAACATGTGAGCGGCCACATATACAGAAAACAAGACATGGACTTATAGGTATGATGTAAGGTCCCCGAGAGAGAGAGAGAGAGAGAGAGAGAGAGAGAGGACGCCTTCTCTCTTGCGATTTGTTTCCCCTTACAAACTACCAAGCCGGGTCCAAGCTTGTGGTATTTGGGTAGTCATAGCTTTGTGCATACCACCACGACGTACTTTGGCCGTTGCCTAACCCCCATGGACGTAAGCAGAAGAAGCACCTCTTTCTCTCGACGAATGCAACCTTGAGCTGCATGGGAGCTTGCTACTGTAGTGTCCCGTTTACGCACACCAGTCATTCTCAAACAGATGGCACGTAAATATGTATAGTCTATACAAGATGTTTTGTCGTATTCCTGGCTGCTTTGTTGACTATTTGCCGGTCGGCTTCACCTACCCCACCTTGAGGGTGTATGTAAGCGCGAGACCTCGTGGGTTCCAGACGATAACAACAAGCTCCGGCGGCGTCGATGAAGAAAATTACCCGTTTGCTTCCGTGTCTAGCGACTACATGCATATTGATGACTCGGGGATCTAATCCCAACGAGGTGTTTCGCGCGCGGCGTGCATGCCTAGCAAGCGTTTGGTCGAGAGTTTTGGAACACTTGTGGGAAGGAACTGCTGAATGATTGCGCTTATTTCTCAAGGCATGCACCACAGCAGCAGAAGAAGTTTTGGATTTGGCCCTGTACCGGAGCTCTCCGGTTAGAGTGGCAAAGGCCATACGGAACGTTAGCACCGCCACTGACCGACAGTATACGGGATGAAACGAAAACACTTTCAACCTTGCATTGAATGAATCCTTGTGATAACTCCGAGTAGGTAGAGGAGCTGATCTGTGGGTGCGTGATACGCCTTTGCAGGCTCCCCAGTAACGCGCGCTTCTTCCCCCCCCTCCGACACTCTTTCACCCTCGCACGCCTCATCCCGACGAACGGAACAGCAGCAAGCAGCGGCCACCCCTTCCTCGGCACCCGGGAGAGCTCCCAAAGCCCCGACAAACGCCGCCACCGCTGTCGCCGCCGCCGCCGGCGGCATGGTTGGGGGGGGAGGGGGCGTACAATCCCACGGGACCCCGACCCGCTCGTCGGCCTTGCTCCGACCGAGGGCCTCCCCCTACAAGGACAAGAGCCTGTCGAGTGCGGCGCCCTCGGGTGTGACTGACCAGGCTGGTCGATCGCCGGCTGTTCCTGGGGATCGGCTGGGCGGGCAGTTGGCCAGGTTGAGTACGGCTCAAGCAGGGGGGCGGCGGGAGGGGCCCGCGGGGGGGGCACCGGCCCGGAGGGAGACGTTTCAGAGCTCGAGGACGTTGTCGACGACGGAGTCGAAGATGGGGCTGGCGGTTCCGACAAGGCCGGTGATTCGCCGTGTGTCTTCGTCCGTGCCTGCCGACGAAGCGGCCGTAGGCAGGCGTGGTGGCGGTGGCGGTGGCGGTGGCGGCGGTAGTGGCATGATGGACCAGAGGTAAGGTGATGCAGTGTGTTGGGGGAGAGGACACATGGAGTTTGTTTGCGCTGATGTGCATAGCAGGGCCCAACCTACCCACCTACGCAGGGATCCACTTTCCTTTTTTTGTTACTATTTGCTACTCTTTTGAGGCGGGTTGCGGTCGAGTGTGGAGGTGTTGCTTGTTGCACGGCGAAAGTACATATGTGGTGAGAATACGAGACCACAAACTGTTCCCGGACTTGAGCATAACCGGCCTTTCTCAGGTTAGATCTTGAGCAAAAACATTTTCTTGTTAAAATGTGGTCCAACGTTCAGCCGTTGTTGACCTTGGTCACCCCTGACTACAGCAGTCACCACCACCACCCCCAACGACACTCACCCCGGACACAATCGGCGCGACGACGATTATTTTTTTCGCCAGGGGGCTGGTGTCGCCTACAGCGGCCGAGTGCAATGATGGGCAGCAGAGGTCGTCGGCAGTGGCACTAGAGGCGGTGGCTACGTCGCGGCCGACGTTGACGCAGGCCTTTATGCGGCAGGACCTAGCGGAGCGGGAGGCGAGACCAGCTGCCTGTGCCAAGTTGCCCCGAGGGGACGGCAAGACAACGGCTGCGGCAGCGAGGGTTGATGACAAGGGTACGAGCGATCCTTGGGTCTGGGAGGCATCGCCTCAGCCGCCGCCGCCTCCGGAGCCGCGACCTGGTCCAACAGAGACGCCAGTGGTGGTAGTCGCCAGTGAGGGAGATGAGGGTGTTGGCAATGTCGCCGCGCTGACGAGGCGCGAGAGCAAGCCAGAAAGGGGGTGCAGGAAGAGTGTTCTCGAGGAAGAAGGAGGGGGCTCCGTTCCGATGCCGGCGGGGTCACATTCGATGTCCGTGCTGGAGAAAAATAAACAGGCCCGACAAATGCCGGAGGCGACCGGGACGTATCTTCCGACGCAGCGGGGACGTGCCGCTACAGGAGGTACACCAGCTGTTGCAAAGGAGGCAGAACTGGTCTTGGCAGCAACAGCAGCTGCAGATGCAACAGCAGCAGCCGATGTATCAGCAGAGAAGACACCGGCAAAGACGGGCCAAGTGGGGCGGGAGGCGGCGAAATCGAGTGAGGTTGACTCGAAAGTGGAACACAAATCGTCCGTGTTTTCACGGTTTTCTTCCGTATTTTCGCGGAGACGTCATCCCCCCACCGTGGCAGAGAACGACGGAACGGTAGCAAGGGGTGAGGTCCCAGCCGTTCCTGTTGCCACTATGAAGGAAAGCAGGCGGGGCGAGGAGCCGGCGCAGCCTGCGCGAGAGTCTAATGAGGAGGCGAAAGAGCAACCGCCGGCACTAGCGACGAGCGCGAAAGCAGAAGCGGCGAGAGAGCCGAGTGAGGACCGACAACCTGCTTCTCCTGCGGCGGGAAGAAGCAAGCTCGTGGAGGAAGGGCCGCCTGCGGGGGGGGGCTACGGCGAGGAGACGACAGTATGCGTTCCGCTGCCTGACGAAGGAGAAGGACCGGAGATAGCGGCGACAGCCACTGCTGCCGATCTCCCTGTTTCGGACTCGAGCTCGCCGGCACCCTCTTCCGGGTCCTCTCCGTTGTCCGCCGAGAGGGGTCTGGTATCCAACGCACCACAAGACGACGGCCCGATGGGGTCTGGTATCCAAGTTGGACGAGTGGCGGCAAGTCCCGGTCGGGAGCAACCGGGGCTGACACCTCCGCGACACCGCTCTCGCTTCTCTACGCCGCCTGCCATTATCACGGACCCCGCTCGAAAGAACGGACCGATTGGCTTGACAAGCAATGGGTCAAAGGAGGTGATGGCGAGCCCCGACCCGCCGCGGTTTGCGTTGACCCCTCCGGGATATCGCTGCCGCCTAGCGGCTAAGCCCGGTGCGGGGCGGGTGGTCTCTCCTCTGGCGCAAGGGGCATCCCCGCAGACAGGTGTGGAGGAGAGAAAGGCCACAATGCCCCCGCGCCATGCGGGGCTGACACCCCCCGGGTACCGTTCCCGCTCGTATTCCTCTTCGCCGTCTGCCAGGAGGAGAGCGTCTTCCCTTGGCCAAGGTTCGATTACGATGGCAGGCGAAGAAGGGGCCAGGGAGCCGAGCTCGTCGGCGAGGCCGCGTCGCACGGGGCTGACCCCTCCAGGCTACCGCTCCCGTCCTTCTCCGCCGCTGGCCGGGAGGGTGGACTCGCGGCGGCGCGAGAGCGCGCCGGCCGCGTCGCCCGGCGTGAGGTCTGTTCTCGGCGCCTCGGACGCAGGGGGACACTTGACGCCTGGCCGCGACATCGCCAAGGCTCCCGCGTTCGAGCAGCGGACGGGGATTCTGGAAGGTACTCCGACGCGACGTCGGGCTTGTAGTTCGCCGGGAATGTACAGACCCGGGAAGATGCGGCAGGAGAGGCTTGGAGGCCGCGATGGTGTCGGAGAGGAAACGGAGAAGGTGGTGGAGGGGGCGACAAGCCCCGGGTCTTTGCCGGAACCCTCGAGTCCAACACAGCAGCAGCAGGAACGGCCTGTCGGAGATAAGGAGGTGCGCAAGAGCGACAACGACGGTTGCTCACCGGTGGCAAGCGGTGACGGCAATCAGCAGGGCGGCGGTGTCCTGCAAAGCTCAAGCCCCCGCGTTGTCGATGCCCGCCCGACGAATTCAAGACCGATGGGGGGCGTCGGGTTACCCAGAGTGTCCAGTCCCACGGATCAGCACCAGCAACAGGAGGACGCATCATGCGTGCCGATGACCGGCGATGAGAGCCCGCGCAAGGCCGTTATGTCGAGGTGCTCCAGCCCCTGCACTGCTGTCGACGCCCAAGCGACCGAGTCGCCAGCCACGGGGACGGTAGAGTCGCCAGGAGCTTCTGCCAGCCACGAACCGCGAAGTCACCAACATCAGGGTTTCGGGGTTGAAACTGCTGCTGCTGCTGCTGCTGCTGCTGCTGCTGCTGCTGCTGCTGCTGCTCCTTCTGACGTTGGACAAGGCGGGGAGCAGGAGCAAGAGGCACCGCGGAGTTGCAACGGCGCTGCATGCTCGCCGCTAGCTCGCACCTTTGCGTCGCCCGTGCACGACGGTGTGCCCGCGTGCACCACCTCCCGATTGGTCGCGGCCTCTCCACCGCGAATCGCCGGTTGTTCGGCATGTGAAACTGCTGTGGATGACTCTGGTCGTGGTGCTGACGGTCGCGGTGGTAGCAGCTGCGATGACGCCGCCGCCGCCGCTGCTGCTGCGCCCGTGTCTGCGTCGGACAATAGTGCGGAGGCCCAGGCACCGCCCAAGGAAAATGAGCAGAACCTTTCGGAGGCGTCGCAGACACCGCTAATGACAGGCGAGGGAATGAAAAAAGGGGAGAAGGAGCCGGAGGCGGTTCAGGCACCGCCAAAGGCGGACGAAGGGAAGGGAGAGGAGGAGCTTCACGAGACATTCCCTTGCAGCACGAACTTTGCCGCCGGTTTCGTCGCGGGCAGGCGAAAGCGGAGGGCCGTTTCCGGCGTCCCCGTGGTCACAGTGGCGGCGGCGACGGCGGCATTGTCGCCGGTGAGTGCAGAAAGGAGGAGAGCTTCTTCGGGTAGCAAATCACCGGAGAGCTCTTTGGAGCAGGAGGGCGGGCTGGGGGAGAGCTCGGGTGCGGAAAGCCCGGGCGATGAGTCCGGGTCGAGCTGGGAGACATGTTCGAGTAGCGAGGAGGAGGAGGGGGGGGGGGTTGGGGGGGCGGAAGGGGAGGAGGGCGAAGGATGGGGGCGGCTGTCTTACCTCGACGAAATGTGAGTGGTTTTGTACATGTGTGGAGGGTTGCGCGGTACTCTTCCTCTGGGAGATTGGCGCAGACCCACAGGGACACCGCGTTGCTCACAAACCAGCGGACAACACAAGGCTGTAGCCATTGTTTGAAACTCCAATTGGTCCAATAATCTGTTGGTGCACAGTCGGTCGGCAGGTACTCTTTCCCGCTGATTCTGTTGCTTCCGGAAGGATGTTATTCGCGTCTTGACAACCATTCTCTGGCGGGCGCAAAACAACACCAATGTCACCTCTCAAGCAGTGTTGTCCAGTCTTGAGGCTGGCTTTGAGAACTTTCCTGCTTGTTGCTGTTGCTTCATTACTCGCGGGATATCATCGGCTGCACGTCCAGCAGACTGGGTTGCCGCAGACCCCGTCAATCAATTTGCCATATGCGCACTCCATGGAACAAACTTGATGCGAACCTCCCACAATATCCACATTTGTCCCTTACTGCCCACCCCCGGTGTACAACCCGAACGTATTATCGTAACCTACGGTGTTCGTCAGTGACGAGCACCCCTACGGCGGCGTTGTTGTCATCGACCCGGACCTTGTGCGGTCCGGAGGGTCTAGCAGCGGAGGCGGTTCCGCGCGGTCTTCCATTCCACGGTCTTCTTTCGATGACGAGGTAACGAGAGTGCAATAAACATCAATAAACAAAGCGGTAGCGTGGCAGCCATAGAGCCGGCGCAAAGGCCTCTGTCCATGGCTAGTGGATCACACGCGAGGGAGACGAGACAGAGGCTGTTCTTGGCGTCCACGAGGACTGAAACCGGTAGAAGCTGCCATCCCACCGCGGTTGCTGGGACGGGAATTATTGTTGGGTAGGGTAGGCGCCGTGCGGGTAGTTTTCGGGCACGACTGCAGCACGACAAGCCGCAGTCAAACCGGTGTGTGCGCAACTGCTTAGTACGAGTCACCTTGTGTGTTTGGATGGTGTTTCATGCGTGTTTTAACTTAGAATCCGTTGTCCCTCTCCAAAGGCTCGCTCGGGCGGGCGTAGGTCGTGGACTGCATGCCCTCCTACGGCGGATATGTCCACACAGACCACCCAAGCGGAGGAGGGTGTTGCCCACATCCTGGTGCAGGCGGGTGACGGGAAACTGCTGTCCGAGGCGGAGTTGCGGGAGGAGTACACCCAGCGCGAGCTAAGGGTGAGAGAGGGGGAGTGGGGGTGCTACTCGAAAGTACGGTTTGTTGGGCCACTGCGTTCATGTTGCACTCTTGAGGGACGAAGAGGCACGATGGGTGCGATCGCCTTGCTCATGTAGCGTCATGCTGAATTTGAAGCCGCAGCCCTCGCATCTATTTCGTTACCAATTTATTGCACTCTTGCCGTTTCTGCATGAGCGGGCTGGTTTTTGTTCCGTTTTGATGTGTTTTCGGTTGTGATCATTTGTCTTTGATGACGCTGTTGCTGCATGTGCTGCTCCAGCAAAGGCCGAACATGGTGTGGATCACAAACCTCTGTCGCGCTGACATGATGCCCACGAAAAACCAACCATAGGCTTACGTCTGCTCCTGCCCGTTGCTCTTAACGTGCCGCTGCTATCGCAGGAGAGGTTGGAGATGATGAACCACGACCTCCTCGCTGAGGTGTTTCACCGGGAGATCGTCAAGCAGGAGGAGGCGCAGAAGCGCCGGAAACAACAGGAGGCCCACGAGGCGGAGATCCTGGCGCTAAGGAACGAGCTCCATGCCGTCCAGATGAGCCACAATAACGAGAAAATCAAGATGCGCTGGGAGCACGCCGACGAGGTGAGAGGAGGTGGCCTCTTCTTTTTTTGTTGCTTGCGTTTTCTATGCTATTTTTGCTGGCGTCCTTCATCTTGTAGCTTTTGCGTTTTGGTGGTGACTTGGACTGCGCTTGCGCGATGTTTGCTGGGTAGTTGCTTCCCGCCGTCTTCTCGCTGACTGAATTTCGTTTGCTCTTGATTCTCAGGAATGGCCAGCACGTGTGTGTCGTGTGTAGACATATGTCTTGTCAGGGGAGCGGAGAATCACACGCATCCATGCTCGCTGTGGCGGGCGCGTCACGGAGAATGACCACGAGGTCGACTGGCGTCTGTCGCCCCCCCCCCCCCCTCCCTCTCCCGTCCTATGCATGTCTGTTTCTGCATTGGACGTAAGCATCATTCCCGCACATGTTTTTTGTAAACCTCTGCTCTTGTCTGCCCCTTCCGTGTGTACAACGAGTGCCTAGTGTTTGGCGTCTAACTTATATGCGCTCGCTGCCTGCTCTCTGCTTTGGAACTAACAGCTGGCGAGAGTCGAGGCGGAAGGGGGCGACGTGGTGGGCATGAGGCAAGAGCTCGAGGAAGAGAGAAAACTGTAAGTGAACCAACCCCTTCGTGGGTTTAAGTAGGTTACGAGGTGTGGGGTCAGGGCTAAGGGGTCGGATACGAAACCCTCCTCTCTGTTCACTCGCGAAGGGGGTCCTGGTGGCCACAGGACGCGGCGGCAGGCATCCCTGTTCAATTCCACCTAAACAATTTCATCGTAGGGCTTGAGACGTGCACTGCTTAGTGAGCGTGGTTGTAGTGAATAAGAATCGAGCATATTGCTTCGACGAGACGGGAGGAATGTGTGACGTTCCATAGGTTGTGTTCGGAAGATCCTGATTCTGGTTCCATCCCACAATAAACAGGAACGATAGTGTCGAAGAAAGCCAGAAAAACCGACACACGCGTGAAAAATCAAGAAACTGGTTATTCGAAGGTTCTTGTGAATTTCCACGCCCCAATTGGTGAAACAGTATTCAGATACCAGAGAATTACATTTATTTCTACGAAGCTGCCTTGCTTCTCAGATGACATGTTGGGAGAATGCCGATAGCGCTACAAAGCCCGCTACCGAGCACAGGCAGTTAGACTGCCAGAACATGTTGGCGCGTATTTACAGCTACATTGTCCTTCTCCGAGGGTAGACGTTTGGAATTTTTGGCTTCGGAAAGCAGCATCGTGTTTAATGAAGAACAAGAGACGTGAATCAGCGCGAGCACTGAGCACCACGTCGGCAACACACACGTGTGGGAAATGCCACATTGGTAGGACACTATTGGGGAATCCTTCTGCTAGCCAGAACTATAATTTGTCAACTGAGTTGGTAAACTAAGTGGCCTAAACCCTCAACATGCAACGCCGACGGCTGCACCGACGACGGACGTATGCAGGCGCGAGGAAGACGAAAGGCGTTACGAGGCCGCGCTGCAGCAGGAGCGCCAGCACCGGAGAGAGTGGGAAGCGCGGAGCGACGAGCACGCCCGGGATAAGCGGGAGCAGGCGAAGCAGCACCGGGAGGAGATGAGGCGACAGATCGCGGCGGAGAGAAAGAGGGCGGAAGGGGAGGCGAGGAAGAAGCTGGAAGCTCGGCATAAGGAGGCCCAGCAGAAGGCGGAGGAGGTAAGGAGCAAGTGAATCGTGGCGGAAACCTGTAAATGTGAACGCATACGGAAATGTTGCTGTGTGAGTGTCGTTCTTGTCATTTTTTTTTCCGACTTGGATTGACATGTGCTCTGGTTGTGAATATTGCTGTCTTCTCGGTGCACTCCTTCGTGCATTTTTTTCCGACGAGAAATGCGGCCATGAAAGCCTGAAGTGAAGGCGGAGGAGGTTGGAAAGCATGTGGATGCCACTAAACATGGACATATGTATCTATATCATCCAATTATTGTTGAGTGCGTGGGTGACTACTTTCGGTGTCGCGTTGTTACGTTTTTGCATTCTGTCAGTTCTTGTATGTGGACCTTTCTATTTCCGCCTGTGTGCTGATATTTATTTTTCCGTGCACGCTTTGACGCACTATTGTACCACCACGACACGCGTGTCCAGGTGGTGAAGATGCAGCTCACGATGATCAAGGAGATGGACCAGGAGAACGACGAGCTGAGGGAGGAGAACGCCGAGCTGAGGGAAAAGCTCGGCATCGAGGACGATGGCGAAGATGAGGAAGAGGAGGGGACCGAGGCGGGATGACGTTGCGAAGGCACCGGTTCCTGCTGCGAGAAATGCTGTCGACAGGCATCACCGAAGAAGGGATGTTTATTTTTTCCACCCGCGAGAGTGGGGGCGTTCCAGAAAATGGTTGTTGACATTCATATTTGGGGATGGATGGAACCGCCAAACCTATCTGGGGGGGGCGGGCTCCGCGGAATATGTGTGTATCCATGGATGAATGGGTTACTTTTGTTGTCAAGAGTGTATGCCGGGTTCGAAGCATAACACGCCCGCAGGGGGTAAGAAATCGTGTACTCTTGATGGGCATTGAGCAAGGTCTAGCCTTGTCGTCGCGGGCCAGGACCTTATCGGGCTGACGGACAGATGAGACTACCCCCGGGGGGGTGTAAGAGGAGCGATGAAGCGATAGCCAGAAAACAGAGCAATCTTTAGGATCGATGATGGCGGGTTAATGAGTTGATAGATGCCGCGTTGCAGCCGGAATCGATGGGTGTTGTCGGAGGCTTTCCGCACAAGGAGGCGCTCAATCTCGCCAAGTGTACAAGGAAGCATGGCCACGGGTTTTGTGTTGTGGGTCTTGCGGTCTCCGAGCGTTCCATGCTGTTGGTGTGCCCGCATCCGTTGGACGGTTGAGGTAGCACACACAGAATGAACATTTCGCTCGCTTGACACGTAGAGATTGGAAAGGTCAGGAAAGGAATCGACAGCATATACTTTTTTTTTGCCCATACGCCCTTCAGTGCCTTGCAGTCTAGTGACCTTTTGTTTTGCTACCACCTTTGCTACGCGTTCGTTTTTGTCTGTTCCACTGCTTTGCTTAGGTTTTCTATTTACCAAATCTTAGTTTGTAGTCATTGATTTGGTTTTGGTGCCTCGGGATCATGTGTGAGTTTTAGGCAACAAGGCTTTCTGGAAGTCTCGAAAAAACATTCGATCGTTTATCGGGATTTTCTTCGGGGGGTAAGGTATGGGGGGGGGGGGGGGTACGAAAGCTCAAGCGCTCCTTGTTGTAACTAAATGTCCGTTGTTGCTTCGACGCTGCATTCAAGCAGAACATACTACTATTGTTAGACTATACGTAGTCTAAGTGAAGGTAACTCTTGCCTTGTCGTTCTTCATTGGTATGTTGTACTGTATCGTGTTGCCTGTATCGGCGAAATCCACACCGTTTATTACCACTTGAAGTACGTTAACAACGCTAAATGTCCGAGGGGGGGGGGAGGGGGGGGGACAGTAGTAGTGCCTTGGGGTATTTATCAGGCCGCAGACACCGGAGTTACTTCAGAAGATAGGGACACGTTCAGAAGCGCTCTTTTCTTCGTTTCGTTTGACGAAAAATGACTTTGAATCTGTCGGGGGTCCTCTGCCTCGATTTAGAATACTAGACTGCTTGTAGTGGTAGACTAGACACCACGTCGCACAAAAAAACTAAAAAAACTATGGGGACGACCGGAAAGTGTCGTGTTTCTTAATGTCCTCTCGCTCCTCGCCTCCTCCGTAACTAAAGATACGGAGCCAACACATGCGCACTCAGGTAGTACTTGTACCTGTTGCACGTGGCATTTGAGTACACATGCGCACTGTTCCATCATTCGCGATTCGTGTACCGAACACCCACAATTTCCATCACTCGTCGTCTTTCATCTTACCGCACTCTCGCAACTAGGAAACCTTCCGGACTAGACTAGTCTACAATGCTGACGGGTACCGATGGATGGAGTGAGATAGCACCATGTGTTCTCCATCCTCACTGGGGGTCTAGTTGGTATCCTCGAAACCTTCTAGAGGTCAGGTCAGGGGTTCGAATCCCGGCGTAAGCGAGCTTTTCTTGCACAGTGAGTTTTTCCTTGCTCCCGCTCCTGCCCTACTAATAGTGGATAACGCTAGTTCGTGTGTACACAGAGGGAAGAGGGTGCTGAACTCTTCTCGCATTAAAAATCGAAGGCAAGGTACCGCAGGAGGGTAGGGTAGACAGGGGCTGTTCTGTGTAACCGCGGGTTGGAGTAAACGGCACTTCTTGTGCTATGAGCGCTGATGTGAAGCGAAGACAAAGACGAAAAAAAAACGTCCTCCAGCTAGAACTACGCGACGCCACCTAGAAACGCGCCAGGTACGGTAGGTTGCATAAGATACTGCACCCCCTCTGGAACGATTTCCGAAGCTTCATTACTCCACGATGAAAATGATGCTGAAATCAAAGTACTGTACGTGTTCGGAAAGCTCTCGAATGCGACGGTTCCAACTCCGCCATTTCGGCACCGTCACTGCCTTTCCTGCCGAGTAATCGAGCTTTGAAAAGCGGGCCAGGGGATGTGATATCTTATGCAACCCATGCTACTGTATCAAGTCTCTCTGCCTCTCTCTCTCGCTCCCTCGGGGACATCAGCCTCGGATACGCATACAATGAAGCCACATCATCATGCTTTCATGTGCACCAAAAACACTAAAACACAAGAAAAATAATTATTGTTCACAGTAATCTAAGTTGGAAGTGAATACACATACACGCGCTCCGCACAAAGCCCTTTTCAAGCCTACATGAATGTTGCATACCATAAAAAATGTATTTATTGACTTTGATTGTCAACAGTGTGCACTATTTTTTGGGGGGAGGGGTTGCACAACCCTAGCATTGTCTCGAAGGATGCACAACCCCTCGCTATCGAACTCTGCGCAACCTCTTTGGTTTAGAACCCTTCACAGGGACGTTTTCCAGCGCTCTTGTTCGATTGCCAATACGGAGACGGACCTACCTGTAGAATAGATAGCGCAAGAGCGAATCAAGGGGGCTTCGGGGAAGAAGACGGTAAAGCTAACCCTTGCTTCGACAAAGCTAAGAATAATGCATGGAAAGCAGTAGCAAAGGAACTCGGCCTTCAGGAACCCGAGGGTACCATGCCAGCGGCAAGTATGTTTGCAGCGGAGGCTCATTACAGAAAAACCTCGCTCCATTCTCCGCCGATTTCCGCGACAACCATGCCGCCAGGCAACCGCCCCCCCCCAACCACAAACAAACGATACGATATCGTTCCATCGACAATGAACAATACGACACGCCCAAGCACCACCGCGGACCGCTATCAATGCCCAAAAGAAATAGGTGACAGCAGTGCTGATATTGAAAAGAAACGAACGGTCAAAGCCGGTCGCCACCAAACGCAGGATTAGTTGAGGGCTTGCGACAGAGCTGCTGCACACAGCACACCCCGGAAAACACGTCCAACATGAACAAAGATGAAAATGATATACAGAAGACACCCCGAGAGCGAACACGACAGCTGGCCAACTTAACATACAGAGTGAATATAGTCGTACTATGCATAGTATTGAACAAGAGGCGTGAAACAAAGAAACAAAATTACCCAAACACGTCAACTAGTTTCTCTCTCCCTCTCCCCCCCCCCCCGCCACCTCCGTCTCGACCCTCTCGAAGAACGGTATCGGTTAAGGAGTATTTTTCTTCCACAGCTCCCAATCCACAGCTCCCGCCCTTTCCTGCACCGTCCCGAAGTGGCCAAGCAACGAACATCTATCGTCACAACCGCTACGTACCGTTCGCCGCCCCCACTACTATGTGACGCCTCGCCCATCGCCGCGGAGGGGCCACAGTACCCGCAGCACGACCGTTGGTGTTGCCTACGAGCCCCTCGGTTTCGTTGCGCTCTTGGCGGTGAAGACCACGAACGAACCATGAACAAGACGATTCCGTATCAACATGAGGACGGCGGGGGGGGGGTCGGTGCGCAGCCTTGGTGAATAGGAGGCCCCCGCAGGAGCCGTTGCCGCTGGCGGGCCAAGGTGATGTCCAACTGGAGCATCTCCCTCCGGGGCCCGCTCCCTGTCCCCCGCAGCCCCTGCGCAGTCATCAGCGCCCAGGCCGAGGCCTGAGCCGAAGCATTGCAGGATGCCGGACTAGTCCGAGCGGATGCGGGGCCGCCTGCGACGCTGCCGCTCCGGGCGTCCTTGTCACCGGCTACCCCGCCCACGACCTGACCTTGCTGTTGTTGGTGCTGCCTTTGTTGTTGTCGCGGCTGTAGATGCTGCGGCTGTTGTTGTAGCTGCTGTTGCTGTTCCTGATGCTGTTGCTGTTGTTGCTGCTGGTGCTGCTGATACTGGCGGTGGAAGTGGTGCTTGGCGGATTCCAGCTCCGATCGAGCATGTTGTATTTCCATGTCCTGTCGTTATCGTAAGTCGATGAGGGTGGTATAGGTCAATGTCAGCTAGCTAAGTATATTGCGGCGGAGACGAAATGGGTCGGTAGGGCGGGCAAGCCTCCTTCGACGAAAAAGGCTAACGGTTTGCACATGGTACCTTTACACCGCATCCGGGTCTCCACTGTACTTTTCTACCGACAGCTTCATGCTGAGGGGACTTCTGTCTAGCTCGAAATGCACAAGGTAGTGGTAAACGTGGCGGGTACGCTGCTGAAACTGCCGAGTGATCAGCCCATCACACCAACCCATGCCTGGCCTAGTATGTACGGTAGGTGCAAACCAGAGGAGAAACGAAAAAGCACGGTACGAAGATTCTATTCCGCAGTAGAATTGCTGTCGATAGATATCGAATGCCTTGTTTCGGTGTTGTTTCTTCGCGCACCCCTTGCCGCGATACTCTGCAGTCAGCGCCGCTGTGGGCTGGCTGGCCGGCTATCCTACCTTGGAGGAGAGGCGGCTTGCCATCTCTTTGACAGCAGAGTCGAGCGCGACCAGCAGCAAAGCATTCTCATCGGTTCGCTTTGCCACCTCGCCTGTTATGTAGTCCATTCCAAACAGGGCAGGGTGGCAACGGGGGTAAGAGGGCAGGTACTGGCGGAGAGTGGAACAAAAGGGGAGGGGGGGGGGGGGGGGACC